AACAACAAAGTAGAGAGATAACTAGGTGATCTTGCTCTTCCAAGAGAGAAATCACCTTACCAACTTGTGGATTTGGTCTTGAACCCTAGGATAACTTTGAGAGAGATCTTGGGCTGATATTTTGGAGCTCCTTCACGTTGCAATGGAGAGAGAGGGATTATGAATTTTTTTCTAACTGAAATTGAGATATATTTATGTTTATATGGCCCCACTAATGGGCTTGGGAAGATGGGTCTTGGGTTGCCCCAAGACTTGCCCATTTCTATCCTTTTCCATTCCCTTTTAATTTGATCCATAGGCTCCAAGTAGGTGATGCACCTACTTGTCACCTACTTAATCAAGTAGGTGATTCATGTTGGTCCTTTTTCCATTTTGAAACATGTGTCTCATCCTCATAAAATAATTTAGACATGAATCGAGTAGCTCAAGCAAGTAGGACGGAAAGTAAGTTGGTGAAGAAGGCACGTCGGGTAAGCAAGCAGCTCGTTTTTATTTTTCCAAAATCTATTTTCTCGCGTTTAAGTGCATTCGTCCTCAACCTAGCCGTTTGTATGTTGAATGGAAATACGGGATATAATACCATTAGGTCACTTTATATACTTGCAAAGAGAATTTCATTTCCGAGCTTACATCAATTGACTTACTGCGTACTTTCACATACGAAAATATAGGGTGTAATACATTTGGTATGGTCTATCAGACGGGCAGTTTGTACTAGTTGAGATGAGGTTATTGGACCAGGAATTAGTACTATCGAATTTGGATAAATATGTTTGGAAGAAGAATGTCATTAGTCAACTCAGAATTTGGCAGTGGTTCTTGTCGGGCGCGATAACTCCACGACTCGTTAACTTGATAGGAGGTTATCGATTTCTATAGGTTTCTTTCATCATTAAAAGTATTGCGAGGGTTTGGAGCAAGGTTCTATTTGATATGAGGAATATTGCCGGTACCGGCTTGGTAATGATCAGTTATTGTTGTCAGAAGATATTGTTATGACTACATGAGTTATGCAGTACGTCTTGTGGTTATATCTTCTGAGTACAATTATGGTTGATACAACTCGTCGGGGTTGATACAATATATGTATACAATAATCGGATCTAAGAAGGTGTTTCGGATGTTGGAATTTTGCTCTAAGGATTGTAAGCTAAGGTTGAAGGAATCTTCATTTGGATTATGTTAATGGACTTATATGGATTAAAGTGACATGTGATGCTCATGGGTGTGTGTATGATGAGCTAATGCAGATATTTGACGGCTTTGGAATGACTTTTATCACGTTCGAGGATCAAAGTAATTTAAGTGAGGGAGAATGTAACGACCCGACAGATCGTATTGAGATTTTTAGCATCATGTTCGATGGTTTGAGAACTTGAGTATCTTTATATGATGTATTATGACTTGTGTATATTATTGGTTTCGATGTTCGAGAGGTTCGGGATTGATTTGGGGAGTGATTCTTTATTAGAAAGCCTTAAGTTAGAATTAGGGTTTGATAGTTTCAATAGGTTCGTATGGTGATTTTGTTGAGCGTATGTTCGGATTTGAATTTAGATGTTCCTATAAGGATTTGGCTCTATTTGTCGAAAGTTGGCAATTTGAAGAATTAAAGAGTTTATAAGTTTGACCTGAAGTTAATGTTACTGTTATTGGACTTGGATTGTGGTTTTTAGACCTTGACTAGGTTTATTTAGTTGGTTGGAACTTGTGTGCAAAGTTTGATTGTGATCCGGAATATCTATGTGTGATTCGAATGAGTTCGGAGAAGTTAGAATATTTGAAAGAAAAAGAATAATTTTGATCTTCTCTTCGTAGTTTTGATATTATTTGCGGTGTTTTGAGACTTTAAATAAGTTTGGATATTGTATTTGGGCTTGTTGGTATGATTAGATGGGGTTCGAAGGGGCTCGGGAGTCATCTAGGATGGTTTTAGACCATTTTAGTTGAGTTTAGAGTTGTAGTGTTACAGGTGCTCTACATCGTTTCGCGATCGCGAAGCCAGGCTCGCGATTATGGAAAATAATCATGGTCATTTGATAATGGTGCATCGCGTTCGTGGTTCAGGTGTCATGTTCGCGATGTGTGTTTGGGAGCTGGAGCTGTGTTCTTCGTGTCACATGATTGTTTTCGCGTTCACGTAGTTGTGATAAGATTAACATCGCGTTCGCATATAGTCGGAGCAGGATTAGGGGTTTGTTGTCTTTCGTGTTCGCATGATGGTGCTCGCATTCACGGTTTGTTGGTTTGTTTGCTTTCCCGACCATGGGGAAAAGATGTCACACACCAACCTATGTGAGGCGTGGCTGGCACCCGGTGTCGTACTGGCCCGAGCAAATCACTCTGTAACACATGATCATTCGACGTAAACTTGAACATATGTAGGCCAACTTTGCTGAACTCATTCTTTCTATAAACTATCATGGGCCAACATGGCCACAACTCGTGATATATATATATATATACTATAAGTGCGCAAGCATCGTGTTAGCGAGCTGTTATACTCAAACCATATCTATATGTATGGGGCAAGAAGGCCACTATGAGTATCGACACCGAAAACCCCAGAAGGAAACATAAACGAGGGCCGACCAGGCCACTGACATACTGTACATAATGAACATGTGTTCACAAAGCCTTTACGATTTCTGCCATAATGATTGGTTAATGGCGAGAATTACGGATGCCTGTCGGATGAGTTGGCAAAGCTATCTTCGAGACCGTTAGAAACATGACCGGTTACGCCTTCGGTAAACCCGAGGACAAATCTGATGATTTCGATGGCTAATTTTGACAATGCTTTGGGTTCGATCTCAATCACCATGTTTCGATTTTGGCTGATTGTGTTGGACGTTAGATCGATCTTCGAGCTCGACTTTACCCGATCACAGATATTTTGACCCTGGTCTAACCGGGGAGTTTTGGAAGCTCGATCGAATATCGAGCTCGGTTTTACCCGTATACAAGTATGTGGCAGCATATTACAATGGCAAGGCTTGACAAAGAGAGCTATGAATTGGCATAGGCTAAATGTATTTCGAGTGGCATTTGGTGGAAGCGTGTATTATGTATTGCAAGAAAGGAACATGAAGATTTTTCAAAATAAACAGAGACAGGTAGAGCAAGTGACAAGCCATATTATTGAAGACATATTTTATAGAGGTGCTGTGATGGGTGGATTGGCTAGAAGACTACAAGATCTCAATTTTTATTCCTAGTTTTTAGTCTGGTAATGTTGTTTGCAGGTTGATGATAAGATTTGTAGTTATAGGGGAGATGTTATACTTGTTTTTTGCTCTGGAGCTGGGGCTTGTTTGTGCAGTTTCAGTTTTTTTTTTTTTTTTTTTAGCGATACAAAATTTACTTGATAATAAAAGTTTTATTTACCAAAAATAAAAAGTGCATATTAGTATATTTGTCCTTGTTTTCAGATTTAGCCGTTTTCCAATTAATCTATGGTTCGCAAGTACTGCTTTCCTTTGTCCACTGTTTCAATGAATTTAATATTTTATTATTTAATCAAAATCTTGTGAAAGTTGAGATCTCAATTGTGTTAACATTATGATTCTCCTTTTAGGAATTTATGATTAATTTTATGAGTAATTATTCAAATTTTATTTTTACGGTACCAAAATTACGAAACTAATTTTTGTAAAGAACAAGACACTCAATTTTACTTCACGGAAGCAACTAACCGTCATTTGATTTTTTAGGAAGGGTTAGTTTGAGAAGTGATTACTTAATTTTTATTTTATTGCACTAAAATTATTAAATTATTTTGTAAAACAAAAAATTATTCAACTTTAATTAAGTATCAAAAAGAGTTACTAACTCATTTTTGTACAAGAAGCACATATTTTTAGGAAAAAGAAAAAGGTGTATATTTGTACAAGAGGCACATATTGTTCGCCATTTTTCTGGGTTTAGAATTTGTATATAGATGAGAAATATGACCGCACACAAAAGGTTAAAATAGTTTTCAAGTAAAAACAGTGAGCTGTTTAGAAAAGGGAGAGAAGTAGGAGAGCAGCAAAAGAAAGGAAGGTGGAGGGTCTGTTATCAGTTTCCACTATTATTTCCCCATCAAAGAAAGCAACACCACAGTATTATTACCAACAACAGCACCACTACCTTACTCTGTTCTGTTGATCCACCAAATCATCATGTTACTGTTTCCCTCATTTTCTTAGGTAATTCTCATCTTACATTCCCTTGTTTTGTTGCCCAAATGTTTAGGGTTTGTGATCTCTATCTTTTTCTGATCTATTACATTCAGTTTCTTAATGCAAATTGGTTATGTCTGCATTTTTTTTTTGTATAAATCTTTGTTGTTATGTAAGCGCACATTGTTTGAATTGACTAGAAATTCAGTGAACTGGGCTCCAGATCTGTAATTTATCATGAATATGTCATGCTACTGCTATGTTATTCCCTCTTTCTGTCTCCGTTATTGCTAAATGGCAACTCAAATCTCTCTGCATTTGCTGCCGCACATCATTCTGATCATTTTTTTAATCATTTAACTGTGAATTTCAGAATGTATTTTGTGATTTTGGGGTACTTATTGGAAGCTATACTTTTGTGATTGATCTTTTTGATTTCCCCATGAAGTCAAGTATGAGTGGATCAGTTTCCCTAATGTGCTTTTTTAACAATGTACTCCCCATCCCAACTTATGTGATGTTATTTCCTTTTAAGTCTGTCCTAGAAAGAATGACAATTGTTTATATTTAGAAACATTTTAACTTTAAACTTCCAGTTTTACCCTTAATAAGATGGTTCATAGTCACACAAAAATATGTTGTTCTAATGGTGGATCAGTTTCCTTGATGTGCTTTTCTCAAAAAATGAGGTATTTACTGCTATCTAAATGTTTAAACAGTATTTCTATTGAAATAGGTATGGCCACACTGTTGGATACGGTGAGCAAAAACAAGTTTTAGATCCTGTTGACAAGTTTCTGTTGAAGGGTGTTAGGGACTGTCCACGTGCATTGCCGTTGGGCGTCTTGCTGATAGTTTATGTTTGGTCTTATAATGGGTTCTCGATTCCCATCTCATCAGTTGAGCAGTGGCCTTTATGTATCTGGCCGGCCTGAGCAGCCAAAAGAAAGGACTCCAACTATGAGCTCAGTTGCCATGCCTTATACAGGCGGGGATATCAAAAAGTCTGGAGAACTTGGAAAAATGTTTGTTATCCCAACAACGGATGGCTCGAGATCACGGAAATCTGGACCTATCAACAATGCCCCGTTGAGAACTGGATCCTTTGGTGGCACTACTTCTCATTCAGGTCAACTGAATTCAGTCAATCGTATGACTTCTGCTGGAGGTACTTGATCTGTTTCTCTGAAGAAGACCAATTCTGGGCCTTTAAATAAACATGGGGAGCCTATGAAGAAGTCCTCTGGTCCTCAAGGTGGTGTAGGTACTGTTTCGTCCCGCCAAAATTCTGGACCTATCCCCCCAGTTCTCCCTACCACAGGCCTCATTACATCTGGTCCGCTAAACTCTGCTGGAGCTCCTCGAAAAGTGTCAGGTCCTTTGGATTCAACAGGGTCTATCAAATTGCAGCATTCTGCTATAGTTAATAACCAAGCTGTTACTCGCATTAACCAAGGTGAAGAATATTCCTTCCGCAAGAGCTTCCCGAAGCCAATATTTTGGTCCATCATTCTTTTATTTGTGATGGGATTTATTGCTGGTGGCTTTATCCTTGGTGCTGTCCGCAATCCCATTCTCCTCGTAGTTGTTATTGTCCTTTTTGCTGTAGTCAGCATGGTGTTCACGTGGAATAGTTGTTATGGAAGAAAAGCTATCATTGGTTTCATTTCTCAGTACCCAGATGCTGAGCTTAGAACTGCAAAAGATGGCCAATTTGTTAAAGTTTCTGGGGTATGTATTGTCTTTGCGCGAAACCTTTGTGTACTTCGTTTACCGCTCTTTCTATCTCGTTCTCTTGTTCAAATTGCTCCTACATTTCTCAGTTTGTCAAAGTTATCCTCCCTTTACTAAAGTCAGGTGAGATGTGAACTTGGTAAGTAGTGATGGTAAGTGGGGTATTACTGTTAGTTTTCTATTAATGGATTATTTAACTTTTGATTTAGTTTGTGCCATTAATAGATGCTTTCGTGTTGAATTATGAAAATATGTTATCACTGGAGTATCATGGTTTCTATTCTGTTTATCAGACTGCTAATGATGATTAAAAGTTCTATATTCACTTTTGGTTTTATTATGTTTTGGTGAAAGAATTTGTGAATTGCTTTGCAAAAAGAAATAATGTTTTAAATATGAAAAACTCTGTTATTGGGGATTCCGGGGATTTAAATTATAAGGTATCCTTTGTGTAATGGAGAGTTGCAATTGAAATAACCTGCGAAATTTTTAATATTCTCTTTTAGGCACTTCTGACACGGGCTGCAATGATATAGATGATTATTTTACATTCTACAACTGTATTCTACTGGCTGCTGAGGAAAATGTTAATTGGAAAATGGATTCTTTATTGTTTCTAACTTATGTAAAATTCTCCTTTTAAAACTTCTTTTTTTGTTTAACTTGTCTTCTTGAGAGCTTAAAATACTCTTCCTACAGTTATACGTGTAACTTGCTTGGATTTAATAGATATTGTTAAGCTTATATATTACAATTTTTTATGTTGTCCTTGTTCGAATCTGAGCACATTTTGGAAATCCTATCCTGGTTCTCTGATTTTGCAGGTTGTTACCTGTGGAAATGTTCCTCTTGAATCCTCATTTCAGAAGGTTCCTAGATGTGTTTATACAGTCACAAGCTTATATGAGTACCGAGGGTGGGATTCAAAAACTGCTAACGCAGAACATCGCCTGTTTTCTTGGGGGCTTCGTGCAATGGAGGTGAGGAAAAATCGTATAAGCCCTTTTATTCATTTTGAAAGAACCAATGTTACTGTGGATTCCTCCTTGCATTGGTGGCCCATGATGATGGAGACTAAATAATTGTTATATGAGTATTGCTTAATTTTTTCTATTTGCTTTCTTTTGTGTTTCATGGCCCAAGCATTGTACAAAGCCAAGTACTGGGGAGCAGGCGGTTTTTCCCCAAAAGAAATATTGAAAACAAGAATGTGTTCAAGAATTATTCGTATGCTGTTTATGTTCTCTTCTTTTTGCACGGAAGAACTTTAAAGATAGAGATCTTCAGGTCTCTAACTTTAGGAGCTAGACATTAAGTCAAACAAAAAGAAGACAGCTTAGCGATGAGAAAATAAAAAACATCAACGAAGAATTGGGCTAATCTGGAGTTGTAAGCATGTTGCACTGCTTTATGAGTTTTCAACGTTGGGAGTTCCTTGATTTAAATAAGAGAGTTTTCCTTGGTCTAAATGAGAGTGTTATGAAATGTGGTGAAATACAATCTGAATAAGGAAAGAAAAATAATATGGATAAAGGAAACTCAAGGAATATTCTAAATAACCTCCTACATAAAAGTCGTAAAATCTGGTCCTTCGAGATAAGTCGTATAGACCAGAAAACATGAAAAGTGAATCAGTCAATAGGAAGAAGACTCCAACTTTTAGGGAACTATCTAATTCTTGTTTCAAGGGAGAAGTAGGAATTCCGATGCTCTTTTGACTGGATATCTTCCTAGCGTACCACAAATTAACTTATCACCATGATATAATGTAAAAAACATTGAACTTCAGCTTAGTATAGAAATGAAAGTTTGTCTACATTTGGAAGTAAATCAATCAAACCTGCTTCAAAGCACTGCTCCAACTAAACAATGGAAAAGTTCTAGGCAAAGGGACAAAATGAGCTTATATGTCTCCATGTTCTCGCAAACTATTGATATCTTGAAGTGTTCTAAAGACTTCTAAGGTTGCAAAATATGTCATACCAGTGAGTTCATGTGGAGATATTAAGAGAAGTTTGAATACCTTGTTTGTTTGATACTGTATGTGATGTCATTGTAAGTTCATTTGGACCTCCTTCCCTTGTTTGTCGTTTCCATCCTGCCCTTCCCTTCACTTTATTTATTGTTAGCATATAATGTTCATCTATATGCTGTGTAGTTCATTGAAATAATTCTTGCAGAAAACTGAATGCTTTCTTTGTCTTTGCAGCGGCATGTCACTGATTTCTATATCTCCGATTTCCAGTCTGGATTAAGGGCTTTGGTCAAAACTGGATATGGTGCAAGAGTAACCCCTTATGTTGAAGAGTCTATTATTGTAGATATCGATCAATCAAACAGGGACATGTCACCCCAGTTTGTTAGATGGCTGGCGGAGAGAAATCTATCCAGTGATGACCGAATAATGCGATTGAAAGAAGGGTATGATTTAACTCAATTTCAAAGAAACTTGAATATTTCTTCTACTTGCATACTTCTTTGATTATTGAGAGGCAACATGCTCAATCATATCTAGATGCAGGCTCTACCCTCTACAGTTTTATTGATTTGCATTATTGGTGATTGTATTTATTAGCTTTTTTATCCCTGCTTCCTCTACCACATCTATGTTCAGGTATATAAAAGAAGGTAGCACTGTCAGTGTAATGGGAGTTGTCCAGCGGAACGATAACGTTTTGATGATTGTTCCTCCTCCAGAGCCATTTTCAACGGGATGCCAGTGGGGTAAATGCATTCTTCCAGCCAGTCTGGAGGGCATTGTATTGAGATGTGAGGACAGTTCAAAGATTGATGTTATTCCAGTGTAGCAATTTTATCATTCAAGAAGGCTCTGCTGTTTTGGTTTTACAGTTGCTGGAAAACCCTCTTCCAGTGGCAACAAGAATGGTTTCTTGACACGGTTAACCAGATGTATAGCTTGTCAATTCAATTTTATTATTTTTCTTTTCCCTGTAATGTCGTTGGTTTGATCAATTGTGTAGAGGAAACATGTTGATCAGTGAGGATTTATGAGAGTTCTTTTGGCTAGAAAGTCAGATACTTTTATTGATGTTGGGGGCTTTTCAAAACTTTTTGCCCTGATGCATGCAAGCTATGTTTATTTGGTATTTGTAATTCTTTTGTGGCATCTTAGCCACTCTCAAGGCATTCTTGCAAATGAAACCACTGCTCCGGCATTGCTGCCTGATTGCTTGTTGAATAGCTTGAAAATCAGGCAAGGAGAAAGCTTGGTATTAATACTAATAAATGTATTCGTAGTTGCATTCTAAAGATTCCTGGGGTCCAGATGCAAATAAGAACTTGGTGTGATTTTTAATTGAGCAGAATATCAAATTCTTTCTATGTCACGACACGAAATACCAACCAAGGAGTCGTGATGGTGTCGAACACTGCAAGCTAACACTTAACAATAATAAGAGATACAAAACTAACATTATACAACGTAATATCATAAATAAATGTAAAATTCAAAAATTACATAAAAAGTCTAAAGCAATACAACTGTCTAATGACCTCCCAAGATTGCTGTCACTGAATACATGAGCTTTTAAGGAGTACTAATTATAGAGTCTGAAATGAACAACAACACTGCCTGATACAATAAATAGCAACAAGGATAAGGAAGGTGACTCTAGAGTCTGCGAACGGGAATGCAACACTACCTCGAGTCTCCCAGACGTCCAAGTTAGTCACCCTCGGAACACCGCTAAGACCATAGCTAGAATCTGCACAAGAAGTGCAGAAGTGTAGTATGAGCACAATTGACCCAATATACTCAGTAAGTGCCGAGCCTAATCCCCACGAGGTAGTGACGAGGCTAAGACGAGGCTAAGACAAGACATCTACTATATAAACCCGAACAATTAATAAAAAAGAGAAATAACAAGTGAGGCAACAAAAGAAATAGCAAGAAGAAGTACGAGGAATAGTGAAATAATCAACCAAGGGAAATAACAACCATATTTTCTCAATTAACACAACCAAACCTTTCATAACATCTCAAATCCAAGAGAATGAAACAGTAACCATGAAACAACGTAGCCAAGTCCACAAATCCGCATAATAAAAGCAAAGAGGAAAAGATATCCTATCAAATAGCACGACAATACCTCTCATTTCACCAAGCACGGAAACTCCTTTATATATATA